AGCGCACATAAATAAAGCTTTCCTGTCTGATCGTTCAGTTGTGGTCAAAATCGGTAACGTATCAAACAGAAACTAAATATTCTTACTGCTTAGATATAATATACTGATCAATGAAGTACACTGTCAAAACGATTTAGGAGTCACAATAAATAATAAATTACATCTGATGTAATTACTTTCATCGTTTTGTTGCCTCGAATAGATTTTGTTTTGTTTTTTTAAATTCATCATAGCCTACTTGATTAAAATACAAAAACCGTTGATATAACTGGTATTTTATTTTCAATCTTATGCTATGATAACTCGTTGAAAAGAGAATTAAAAAATCTGTCAAATAATCTAAAAATCCAATATGGCGCCTATTTAAAGGAAGTTCCTCAAAGGCCATCTTGAATTTTTTTTTGACATCAATTCTAAATTAGGCGTATTAATATATATATTTTTATATCTCTTGTACTTTCGATGATATAAGACATTAAAGGAAATGATAACTTTAGTTTTTTTGAATTTACGTCGAACCTATTCGACATTTTGAATTTCCACAAAGAAATTTTAAATAAACATCTAAAACTGCAAAACATTGTCCATTTAACCAATTCTCTATATTTCATAATAAGAAAGCTACCCGTGCAATCCCACCCGATCTGGGACACACTGTATAGGGTGGTCCGTATAAAAAATGTAGTTTAGGGTCGCACACAAAACCAAATACCCTGTACAAAAACTGTGTCTCGCGATGGATTCTACATACAAAAGTGCTCTATCAAAGATTTTGCGGTAATCAATTATTTTTAATAATTAAGAAAGATATGGGCCATCAAAGAAATCGACGAAATTCGAGAAACACCCCCTAGCGACCAAACATTAGAGATAGCTGAATTCTGTTTGCGCAGCCCAGACACCAAGGTCCATTTTTTAGCGCATTCCACAAAAATAAAAAAAAATGGCGCATTTGTGGTCACTTGTCCGTCGGTTTCCGTCCGGCTAACTTTGCGACGCTACTTCTTTATCTTAAGAGCTATTGTTCTACTTTTTTCGCTATTTGGTTCGTTATGGTGTCGAGTCTTGTACCAAGGAAGGAATTTTGTCTGTACCGCTTACAAAAAAAGTTATTGCAAAAAAAACAAAAAACCGTTTTTTACATGTTCCATAATTTTACACTTTTGCCGTTTATTAACGATCCTAGAGATCGTTTATAATTTTGCATTGCTATCTGTCGCCTGCCGGTTGGTCTCTTCGTCTGTTCCTTTGTCTGTCTGTCCATCTATCTGTCCGTGTGAACGATAACTTTGTTTAGAAATGTTCGATCGTTTTTACATCTCCGTTAGTTATGAACTGAATTGCATGAAATTCAATATGGGCATAGCTTTAACCATATAATACGCAATGCCAAAAGTTGAATCGAATCGATTCAAAATGCACAGTGCCCTTTTCGCATCTCGACCATTTATAAACCGAATTGCAAACTTTTTACTTATAAAAGTATTTGAATGAAATTTGATACATAGGCACTTGGAATAAAGGAAAATCAAACGCCAATTTCAAAATTTGGTTTTGCGCATGCGCAGTGCCGACTTTTTTATTTATGAAAGAATTTAAACGAAATTTGATACATAGGCACTTGGGATAAAGGAAAATCAAACGCCAATTTCAAAATTTGGTTTTGCGCATGCGCAGTGCCAACTTTTATTTATGGAAGAATTTAAACGAAATTTGATACATAGGCACTTGGGATAAAGGAAAATCAAACGCCAATTTCAAAATTTGGTTTTGCGCATGCGCAGTGCAAACTTTTTTATTTATGGCAGAATTTAAACGAAATTTGATACATAGGCACTTGGGATAAAGGAAAATCAAACGCCAATTTCAAAATTTGGTTTTGCGCATGCGCAGTCCCAACTTTTTTATTTATGGAAGAATTTAAACGAAATTTGATACATAGGCACTTGGGATAAAGGAAAATCAAACGCCAATTTCAAAATTTGGTTTTGCGCATGCGCCGTGCCAAACTTTTTTATCTATGGAACTATTTAAGTGAAATTTGATACTTAGGCGCTTGGAACAAAGGAAAATCTAACATTAGTTTTAAAATTTAGGTTTGCGCATGCGCAGTTCCAACTTCCTTATTTAGAAAAGCATTGAAATGAAATTCTTCTCATAAACTGAAATTGAAGTAGCACGTCAACAATGGATTGCCCATGTGCAACGTTATCTTTCATATTGTGGCCGGATTTTTACGATTTTAACAGAAGTTGCATCTTACAAATGGGAAATGAATGCAAGTGGAAATGCGCTTTATGTAAATCGTTTACGATTACTTTTTAACTTGTTTTCTTTTGAAATAAACGGTGTTTCAATAAGAAGGTGTCCAAATTGGACCACACTGTATAATATATTTAAAAAATAGGACACTTAGAACGGACTTGGGTGCATAGTTATTCATTACTGTTCATAAAAATGTTTGTTTTCTTTGTTTAATGTCGTTGGGTCTGATTTTAATACGACCGTTTGGTCAAGGTTATATTTGTTTATTTTATGTTTAAATGATATGGATTTTCGTGGAATCGTTAAAGTTAAGAATTTATTCTATTTCTAATTTTTATTTGCTATCAGTTGCTTGTTAGTTCAAATGTGACAGTTCGAGTTAATTTATTAGGTTTACCTTTTATGTGTGAGAGATAAGAGAATTGTTTTGGAGATACCGTGCTCATTTAATCATTATTTAAAAAAATGTATTTCTTTGGTAGAAATTATTTCTTTAATGTGCGTGTCTACGTGACATCACTAAGGTTCGTCCTTTCGCTATTGTCGTTGTTATGCAGTCCTTATTGGCTGTCTTAGTTTTTCGAAAATTAACGGGGATTTGTGTTTAAATAGGTACTACAATTTCGTGGGTTGTGAAAATACCTTTAAAATGGTACCATACATCCACTTCCGGTTGCGGTAAACCCGGAATTTTACTCCATCGCTCAGTTCGTAAATACTCCTCGAGAATAATAGCTATCATTATTGACTCGTGATATAATCTACTGTTATAAGTGACCTCACTGTATGGAGCTTTCGTTATAGCGCGGAAGTGCATTCGGGGCATTGCGTAGACGTATTCCGTTGGTAGTCAGTAACAAATTAATTCTTCTAAACAGTCTGTTGACTATGGCTCTTGCAACACATCGCACCACTCTACACACAGAAGCCTTAGAAATTCCATGCATTACCGCTATACCATGATATTGGCCACCATTGCCAAACCAATGCAATGCTATGAGTAGCTATAGCCTTATGGTTAGTGCACGGTTTCTTCTGGTTGCTCGAGATCAACTACCGCTTGATGAACCAGTTCCACAGCAGATGTGGAAAGACGAAAACTTTCCTTGAATTGGAAATATTCTAATTGGTCAAAATTAACACGCTCCTTAAATTTTCTCCTAGGTCCTTCATTGTCACTTTCATCACTTGAGAAAATCCTATTGTGTGGAAACATTGTACTGTAGACTCTGACACGTGACAAATATGCAAAATATGCAAAGTGGAGATGATTAACAGACGAAATGCTACGTTGACTAAAATATTTTATGAAACAGATAGTTTTTGCACTTCAAAATTATGCAAATGAAAAGTGACAAGAGAAAAGTTGCAAAGTACCTTCATGGTAGTCTAATTAAAGGTCTCAACGAAAGTAACCGTTTTCTACCAACTACTGCCCTTCTTTCTATCCTCTTATCAAAAGACGGGGTTAGAGGGTACTAGTGTTCTAACGAAAGGTCTCAAGGAATTAATTTCTACCAACCTCGACCTCTTATCGTGATCGGATAATATTCCCTTATATCTCCAGAACGGATTGTCAGAAGAAAGGATTCACAAAGGGTAATTGGGACGTCTGGAAGAAATATATTCATTGGTGACGTGATGCTAAAACTTTAAGAGCGAATATCTCGAAAACGGTTTGTCGGAGGAAAGTACTCACAAAGGCAAAATCTGCAGAATGGAGTGTCGGAGGATTTTGAATGTATGCCAGGCGGTCTTTAATTTTTTGTGTATAAAGTGCTTCCTCCCCTTATAACCAACCATTACTAAGCTATTTCGGTTTTAAAAAATGCGCTTTATCGGCACAAGAGTTGTGTACAATTTATATGTAGGTACTTGTTACCCTATGGCCGGAGTCACGTAACATTGTATAAGATCAGATGAACTGTACATATATAGTGCACTTTTTCATTTGTTAATCACTAAAATACGATACTCTGTAAGGTCAATACAACGTATTAACAGTTCCACGACCGCATCTTACGTAAAAATTCGGTTGTTATCGTTTATATTGACATTATTAGTGCAAAGAGTAAATATCTTGATATGGGTTACGGTTCAAAAGGGTGACCAAATGTAATTAAAATACTCCTCGTAGTAACAATAAACTTTAAACGTAACATTAGCATTACTAGGTACGCAACAAAGGTGATGACGCCTAAAAATTGGCACGACGGAAGGAAATTGTTCTGTAGTTTGTTACACAAAATGATGAATGAAGAATTAAATGCGTGTGTAGCTAATAATTTACGAAAAGAAACTTACCTTCTCAACAAGAGTATTCGCACCATTTTTACAAATTTTGAATGATAATTAAACCTGTAATATAATATAATTACAACAGGTTTTAATGGTCGGTATTTCAAATTAATATCTTGTGTTGTAGTTCTGCTTTCAAAATAATCGCATTCTTGTTGCGCGATTAATAGATTTGGTGGCCTTCGATAAATTATCTTGAAAAAATTATCCCCCAACGTAATAAGATCATCGTCAAAGACAAAGAATTTTAAAAGCATAACCGCAATTAGCGTCCGAAACGAGAAAGTTACTTACGTGCGTAAACGAAGGTTCCTAAAATTTTATTTACACAAATTTTTTAACCAAATACACGTTATCAAAGCAGTAACATACTGAAATAAGTAATTCGACAGAGACTAATTATAATAACGATTAGTCTTTGGTAAGGTTTATATGAAAATCCTTATCTTAACATGTTCCAAATAGCTGACGTTACTCATCATTTTTTTCATACAATACACTTTTAAGTAAACGCCTTTTGTTAATAACAATTGTGGAAAATAAGCAAACGAAAACATTTAGGATAGGTAAGTGTCGCTGCCGAATTGAAACCACTAATTGGTGCAGTTGTGCAACCGATTCAAAAATAGTTAATTGTGTGATCGTTATCTGAGTGCTTTTATTTTACAACTACAATGAACTAAAATTAGTGCTGCAACTATTCATAAAATCTCTTTGTTGTAAGCCATAGTATTTATTTGTCAATCTTACAAAGTGCCAACGTCAACAGATAAGGGCAGAACAAATCTCTACGATTCATTGTCAGTGAAAAGAAAAATATTATGACCATTCACTGGATGAACAATATTAATAAATAATCAATATTAAGCAATTAGTGTGAAAGTTGAGTGGCTTCTGACCGACAGTATTGCGATGCTACAAAAAACTACTATTTTTATTACTATTCAGTTATCTCAAAAGATTCAATGTCTCCGATTATTTTAAAGTGGCAAATTTCAGGTTGTATCATCAAACAAAGGAATATGTCTATAATAGTATAGAATTTTCTAATCCATGATGTGCTAGTATGGGATCTGCCCACAAAATTTGTATCATAAACCAACTAAGTAGCATAACGACGTGTGGTCAGGCGCACTGCACCCATTGTATCGGGTGTAATGTTAACATCATCAAAAATGTCCATGTGGCGCTTCTCTAGTCTCTACAACAGTCGGACATTTATTCAATAACGGTTTAGAGAGAGTGTGTACATTAAAAATTGGCGTTTTCTAGCCACTGGACGATTTTATGAAGATTTAAAGTTCTCATCGGTGATTTCACCACAGTTATTGGGAAAAATCGTCCCAGAAACCTGCGCAACCATTTACAAAGCATTGCACGGCCATTGCAAGGTATGTACTGCAATAAAAGATACATCATTCATATATTTAATTATAATCATTTATTTTCTTTACATTCATTTTATGAACACGTGAATGACATGACATTAGGATTCAAAGTTTTCAAAATAAGTCAGTAAATTTTGTTCTTTTTCACTTGACAACTGTTCCCGTTGCGGTATCTGTCTTGCTTGGAGTTGGTGGTATCTTGGTTGGAGTTTGGAAGTTGAATTTGAGGTTGTGAGGGTTGGTTTTCAGGTATGTTTAGTAATAATAATATAATAATAATAATAATAATAATGTTTATTTGTTTAAGTAAATACTTTTACAAATTGTGGTTTCTTAACAAAAAATTACAAATGCAAATAAAACAATTTTCTTCTTCTTCTTACTTCACAGAAAAAAAAGGAAAGTCATTCGTTAAAAATAAAAGCTCTTATTTTAAGGGCGCCAAAAATATAATAATAGAGATCACTCAGTTGCTGTGCATTGTTTACTGTGAGAACAGATTCAACGGTAAGCGGAGGTTCAAGTCTATGTAGATACTGGGTGCGCAACACGGTGTATATGGGGCACGTCAGCAGGAAATGTTCAAGTGTTTCGTTTTCTTTCAGATTGCACACGGTACACAAGCACTCAGTATTAATCACATACGAACATCTATTTATATAGAACCGAATTTCTTTTAGGCCTGAAATTCTTAGTTGACTGACTAATCGCACTTTATTTATTGGGAGCTTAAACGTCATATACACTTCCATATTAGTTAAACTGCTAATATTACGGTAGATGGGGGAATATTTTGATGTAATGGCCGACTCCACGTCCCTACTCAATTCTTGGTTTGTTACCTTTTCTAGTATGTCGTCTTTTGCTTTTTGTAGTGTGATGTCTCTGACGCAAAGTATATTATTTACCAGTGAGTGTTCTCCAATTTCTAATAGAATTTCCTTCACTTGAGTTACCCAGTTCATTGTTGGATTGTTATGAGAACTTCTATCTAGATTAAGTAAGCCATGGTAAGAATGCTTTAACAGTCTATGTTCGGGTAGTCTTAAGATTTTTTCCCACAGGTTGAGAGTATTTTTAATAATTTGTATTTTTAGATGTATCTGTCCGGTTTCCATTCTAACCATGTAGTTGGGAGTGTTGCTTGGCCAATGAAATATTTGTTTATAATATTTTACTTGAACTCTCTCCACCATCTCTAAATATCTCAGCGACCATATCTCTGCACCGTAAAGTAGTACTGAGGACACAATGGCTTTAAATAACCTAGTTTTTGTTTCAAGGCATTCCGATTTTACTTTTATTAAAGTGCTTTTGACCCTTGCTATTGCCCTGGAAGATTTTTCAATGAAACTTTCGCAAGCTTTCTTGAAGACACCGGATGCTGAGAAAGTTATACCTAGGTAAGTATATTCTTCTACAATTTCCAAAGTAGAATTGTTGAACACAAATACTCCCAGACCTTTTTTCTTCCTTCTGTCGTTGAAAGCTTGCTTCTTTTGTTTTAACAGTGAAAAGTATCTCCGCATAGTCATTAGATAGATTTGTACGAATTGCTGCGTTCTTTCACTTTTAAATTTTCTTAATGTCTGTTTCCATTCCTTTTTGAGATTCCGACAAGTTGCGTCATACCAAGTACAGTTGTTATCTCGTTTACGTGAGTGAGGTGAAAATGATTTTGTTAAGTTTAATATTTGTGCTGTTTCCTTGAAAGCGTGCTCGATGTTTTTGCTCACAGCTTCTGTGTTGTCATTGAAAAAGTATATTCTATTTGACATCGCCATGTGTTGTGCAAAGTCCTGGCTAGTCATCGAGGGCCGGTTAAACACAGTTTGTGAAATTGGAGTTATACCTTTTGAGGTAGTACTTTTAGTTCAATCTTCCTCTCCCCAATGGCATACGACATCAATACCAGCTAGCATATGGTTTGAAGTATGAAGGAGATCCATTATCGTCATATCGTTGATGTTATTAATGGTGTTGTCGTCTACAAATACTAAATCTATAACGCTTTTCCCTGTTTCCGATAGGTAAGTATAATCTGCAGGTGTATCACTTTGCGTTCGGCCATTAAGTAAAATCATTCCGTATGCGTCCATTATTTCCATCAGCTTCCGTCCTCTTCTATTGACCTTTGAGTCCCTAGTGCTCCGTTCGTGACTTACATTTGGATTTGTTATTGAGTTCTCTTGCCATTGATTCATAGTTCCCACTCTTGCATTAAAATCCCCGATTATCAGTAGTTGGCTTGAGAGATACTCTTCCTTTAGACTTCTTATCGTTTCATCTAACCAATTTGTACAAAAATCAATATCAGCAGTTGGCTTCCAGTAATTTGCCATTATAATAAAATCTCCGTTCCCGTGCTTAGCTTGTGCAATTACCCATAAGTTAGTTTTTTCGATTGTATTTAAGTGAATACATTGTTTGTAGAGTATAACTAATCCTCCACTCGCTCGACCCATACTTTTTTCTTTTGTAGCAGCAGACGCTATGTACCTAGTGATATTCGTTAAATGCATTTGGCAGTTCTATACTTTCATTTAATGCCCATGTCTCAACCAGACAGATAACGTCGTAGATTTTGAGAAGATTAATTTGTGTTGTGTCTAGGTTGAAAAGATTGCTTATTCCGCTAAGGTTCCAAAATCCAATGTTTAATTTATGGTGCTTTATGTTGTCGTTCGTTCGTTTTTTGTTTTTTTCTGGTGTGTGCCTGTGTTCTATTATCATTACTCATGTCCGTTAGCATGCTAGTCGTCGTCAATTCCTTGTGTGGTCGCAATATTAGTTTTTTGAGCCATCTGGTAATATAGATTGACTGTGTTCGTCCCAGTGGTACCACTGAGCATCCACTTGAAGTTTTTGGTGAGCAACTTTAACCCTATGGCCGTCTCGTCTTTTATCTCTTGCCATTCTTCTTATCTCTGCTTGGATCTTCTGTTCAGAACTTGTAAGGTCGCTATCAATATAAATTTTCTCTGCACCAATTTTCTTCTTGTTGCGTAACACCTCCAGTTTGCTGTCAAAGTTGCTTAGTTTGACGATTACCATATGTTTCGACCGTATTGGGACAACATCTTGTATTATCACGTCTATCTCCATTTTTTCTTTGAATAGCTTTCCTACTTCCATTCTTGTATCTTGCATATTGTCTTTGATTTCGATACCTTTGATTACTACATTAATTCGCTTAGCGAATTTTTCTTGTTTTTCAAATTTTTCTTCTAGCGTTTTTATTTTATGGTGTAATTCTTCTTTCTCTTTTTGCCATACGAGCATTTCTTTTTTCCGTTCTTCGTGTGCTAATTGCATTTCTTGCTTCAGGTTTATAATTTCGTCGGTATTTTTCTTTAGTTGGTCGTTATTGTTTTTTATTTCTTTTTTTAGATCTTCAGCCATGGTTTTTATTAAAATTTTGATTTCTTCCATTTCTGGTTCCGCTTCTAAGTTGATGCTTGGCGCCGATCTTTGATCAGGGGATCTAATAACCTTTTTACTTCTTTCAAACGCTGTTTCTTCTTTATCTACTAGTATCTCTTGTAGTGGTGTCTGTCTTTGTTGTTGAGTGGGAGGAATATTTTTTAGAGATGAATGAGACTGTGGGTATGGGGACATCGGAGGTTGAGAATGGGAAGACATCTGAGTTTGAGAGTAGTGAGATGTCTGCGATTGAGACATGAGAGTATACAATAGTGTTGGGATGCCAATTTGGGAAGGCGTTATTTAAAATGTTATTTATTTTAGTTACGGACTGTCTATTTAGGTTACCAAGTTCAACTTTTAATAAGGTTTCAGTAATTATTTTTCTGCCTAGATCCTTTGATCTTTAAGTAATGATTTTAATTTAGACGCTACAGTTTTTCCGAATATGTCACATGTATCGTCAGGTTTAATAGATAAAGTTTTTTTTACATAGTGATGAAATTATCGGACTTTTTTTAACGAAAAACTATGCAAAAAATTTCGTGTACAACACGTGGTGAAAGTGTCTTTTTTCCTGCTTGATTAGCCCTCAGTTTAAATGGAATTGGTGTGGGTGGAGGCGGCAAGATATCGGCATTTTCATCTTGACTAGGCGATTGTACCTCTGTATTTTCGTCACCATGTTCATGTTGTTCCGCAGGAATACTCTATAACAAAGGAAATTTGTTTTGTTTCAGATGTCTTCGAATGAAAATTAATGGAATACAATTGGAGCTGATTTTGAAAAGCAATGGAATTTTCCTAATTGCCTCGGCGCGGTTGATGGCAAGCATATTAAAATAATGCCGCCGCCTGAATGTGGTTCCTATTTCTACAATTATAAACACTTCCACAGTCAGGTACTGATGGCTGTTGCTAATGCCAGTTATGAGTTGATTTATTTTCACTTTGGAACAAACGGCCGAGTGTCAGACGGTGGGGCAATAAGAAACACAGATTTTTATCAAAAATTTATGAACGGTACTTTGGGGTTGCCACAACCAGATTCAGTGAATTGAATAACGCTTCCTTATGTGTTTGGTGGAGATGAAGCTTTTGCTCTAAGGAATGATATTTTGAAACCATTTAATAAGTCACAGCTCAATGAAAGTAGAAGAATTTTTAATTACCGTTTATCGCGAGCGAGACGGACAATTGAAAATGTATTCGGAATTTAAGTTGCGCGGTTTCGAATACTGAAAACGGAACTCAATTTGGACTTGGATACCTAATATTGCTCCAGTGGTGATGCTTGTTGTGCACTACACAACTTTTTACGCCGTGAAAATCCAGACACTTACTCACCGCAACATAGATTCGATCGAGAAAATTATGAACTTGAAGATATTGAAGAAGGGCTACAAAGAAACTTGCTTGGTCTGGAGAGAAGAAGAGGATCCACTTTTCAGTCGGCAACAGAAAATCGGAATTTATTTGTAGACTATTTTAATGGAATCGGTGCAGTTCCATGGCAGAACAATTATGTATAGCGCAGAAATATTTTAGGTAGTTTAATTATGGCATTTGCATAGAGATTGTGGCAGCGGGTGGAGAAATCTTTGCCTGGCAAGTGGCAATGGTAACGAATAGGGTCTATTAATGGTTACGTCATAATCGACCGCGAAATTCGAATTGCAGGACTTGGCTGTTTTACTGTCGAAAATATTGACCCCTATCGCCCTATCAATTAAGGATCACTTTTAATTAGGTATTCTTTATGGGCTTTACTTATATAACAAAAGGTAAGTAATCAGTGTTTCGATATAAGAGAGTCGATATGCTTATTTAATGCGCATAAGGTGACCTTTACGGGTTTATACTGACCTTATTAAGGTCAGTATAAACCCGTAAAGAGCACCTATTTAAAAGTGATACTTATGCATGAGGCGATAGGGGTCAATATCTTCGACAGTAAAACAGCCAAGTCCTGCAATCCGAATTTCATTTAACTGCTTTCATAAATAAGAAAGTTGGCATTGCGCATGCGCAAAACCACATTTTGAAAACGTCGTTAATTTTACTTATATTCGTAGTGTTTACATATAAAGTTTCATTTAAACATCTTCATAAATAAAAAAGTTTGCATTGCACATGCGTTAAACCAACTTTATCTCTTACTAACTTATCATAGCACATTTTATATCTGTGATACGCGGGCTACTTTATGCCCTAGGGCATTAAGTATCACCATAGTAACTCATTCATACTTAATGACAAAACAAACAAAAATTTGCAGGTTATTGAAAATTAGAAACGTCAATTATCAATTGTCAATACCTACTAAATCACAAGATTGGCCTTATTTCGTATAGTTTCTGGAACTTCTTGCTCATTCACGATGAATTGAATTATTTAAAATTACGTTTGACGTTTGGATGGTTTCAATCACATTAACAAATTCGAACCACGCATACTTAATCAAACATAATGAATTATTTTGTAAACGAATATTTACTTTGACGAAGAAAACTATTTGTAAAGGGCCCCATACACGGAACGATCCGTCGTCAGTAAGTAAATCGTTAACGATCTTGACATACACTATCGATTCGTCGTTTCGGTCGGTCTGAAACGACGGATCGGACAGATCGATCGTACCGTGTATGGGGCCTTTAAAAAATAAAATTTTGTATGTACCACGGGCATAAGCTGATGTTTATACTCTCGGGCGACTAAAAACTTGTTAACTTGTCGCCCTCGAGAATATAAACATCACTATTATGCCCTTAATACATAAATAACTATTACATGCGAATACTGATTTCGCATTAATAGCCATTTTTTGGCTACACTTTTCTGGGTTTTCTATGTTTCTGTTGCGATCGAATCAAAGTTAACGCCACATAGCTAAGAAGAAGAAGTTCGTTTTCCATTTTAACAGGGCACGTATGACGTATGAATTTATTTAATCACGATGGTTCGGTTTTAAAAACATGTGAGCGATCGATCGTAACGACCAATCGTTTCGTGTATGAGTGGGCGATCTATCGTCACGATATCGCTTTAGAACGATCGTGACGGCGGATCGTTCCGTATATGGGGCCCTTAAGGATCATCATCATGTAACCTTACTTTTCAAGCTTAAAGGGAATGGATATGTTGATGCCTTACTTTTAAAGGCATACCTTTAGAAGATGATCATATTCGACTCAGTTAGTATGTTAGTAGAAGTTCTCGAAGACGTAGCTGGTGGGTAAGTCAATGGGTGATAATATGTCTATTTGTTATTATTACAAACTTTTACTGATTTTACTGTGGTTGCAATATTATTGCCACAGTTGTTTCGGACCAGGTAGGGCCCCATACACGGAACGATCCGTCGTCACGATCGATCTGAAGCGATATCGTGATAATAGATCGCCCAAAGCTTACTACTCACACACGAAACGATTGGTCGTTACGATAGATCGCTTACAACCGAACCATCCTGATTAAATAATTTAAGAAGTCATACGTGCCATGTCGAATCGTTGATCGCAATGAGCCATACACTGTCGATTCATCGTTACGATATTCACGATTGCATGCGTTTTTGTTGCTTTGTCCGATATTCAATTCGATAAAGTAAATCGTTAACGATCTTGACATACAAAATCGATTCGTCGTTTCGATCGGCCTGAAACGACGGATCAGACAGATCGATCGTACCGTGTATGGGGCCTTTAACGCCTGGTAACGCAAATCATACTAAAAAACAATTACTGCCTTCTTTTTCTTTCTTTTCAGATAAGGACGCTCAAACCGGAATCCACCTGTAACCACCCACCATCACAATCACCAATTCAACACCGACCGTGCACTTCACCCCTATGACGACGACTCACAACGGACACGAGCTGGTACCTACACATTATCGCATAGACCAAGATAATCATAATCACTGTTGCATTGTCATACATACATTTACTAAGCAAGGGTTGAAGACGACACAAGTCATGAGTAGTACGCCATTCATTCATCACTAACCCCATTGTTGTTTCATATCTATAAATTGTAATAACTGCACCAATATGGACAACGAGTGACAAGGTCACTTCCGGTTAACGAGTATTAACCAAAATTTAATCACTTAGTCCCTTGACAATGTCTACCCATTATTCAAAACAGAACTGGAAAATTCAAAACCGTTCGTGGGTTATCATGTACACAGACGTACGGACGGACGGAATCATAAACTCGCTTTATGTCGCTCGTTGATTAACGTTTTTTTTTTATTGATTGATCGTTTTCAGGTAACGAAGAGCGCAACCCATCCTGCCGTAGGAACGTTAAGCTACTAGTTTTGACTATTGTGCTTTCACGGCCTTTCTTGAACCCGAAACGGTACGGCTCCGCAGGCACCCCTAGTGGAATAATCGAACTGATTTTCAAATTGATTTTTTTCATATTAACTATGGGGATCTCGTAAACTGTAAGAGATACAAAGTCGCGTTATGCAGAATTTTAGGATAATTAATTTTCCATTGGTAGTTTCTTTATAGCTATGTAGCGAAGTTATGGCCAAAAAACCGAAAAATGTCGTTTTCGAAAATGTGCTAGCTTTATTTTCAAACATATAAAAAATAATTTTAACAAACCCTTTTCTCGGCTTTCTGGGGGTACTATAATAACATTTTTATGACTTTCTTATTTTTTTTTGGACGCCATATTGGATTTTGCGTCACTTGATACGAGAAAAAAATTACAAAACCAGTGATAGCAAACACTAATTGCCGATCGTGATTGAAACCAAAATATGTCATTCGTTTATTGTCTCGCATAGTCACCATCGACCCGGCCTTGGAGTTATTGCCATAAGAATTAAGAAATCCATTGTAAACTTCAAGGCAAAAATGCAAGATTGATTCCCAAATGAAATACTAACGGTCGATATTATAAAGCATACTGTCAGACTAACACTGTTGTTAAGGCAGGTGACTGGATGTTTTTGCAAAGAATAACATCATTATTTGCAAAAACATCCAATCACATACCTTGACAATACTGTTAGCCTGAGTAGCCGTAAGTGTTTAGTATCGCTGATTTTGTAATTTTGTTCTCTATCAAATAACGTAAAAATCCAATAGGGTGTCCATAAGAAATAGATATAGTTACTCGAAACTCACAAGTGATAAAAATTGTTAACGCCCTCAGAAAGCCGAGAAAAAATTACCAAGGGTTTATTATAAAATTATGTTTTGATATCTTTGAAAATAAATTAACGCTAGCACATTTTCGAAAATGACATTTTTCAGTTTTTTGACCATAACTTCGCCACCTGTGGAGCTACAAGAAACTTTGAATGGGAAAATTAATCAGCATAAAGTTCTGCATAACTTTGCCCATTCAAGCGACTTTCCATCTCTTGCAGTTTCCCCATAGTGACAATGAAAAAAATTCACCCTGTATATATGTACGAGTATGTGTAAATAATTATCTTTAGGACCATATACGGTACTGTAAATGGACTGCACGATTAATCTACGAGTTACCCACCTACAATTCTGAAACAGTGGCATCTTATGTCTAAAGAATAAAAGTAGTGGTTGGCTTAAATTAATCCAAAATCGTCCAATAAAGAAGTCATTATTCGGATTCGTTCAATTTTAGTGTAAAAATTACAAAATAACGCCATCAACTCCTCCTCCTAAGCGCATTCGGTTTGCTTCATCTAGGTATTTATAATTTGTCACAACAGTCACGGCCCATTTCGGAAAACATCAAGTTTTAATACTAATAATTTTTTGCTCATAGAGCGGTTTTGAATAAATCTTGTATTTGACTCATTTGTTATTGGTTCTTGATCCACGAGAAATTCAGTTAAACTTTTCTCGCGGGGAGAACGAACCTTATGATACACTTGATAAATAAATAGCTATGCACATATAGTAATAAAAGAACATTGTTTTGCATAATAATTCGAGAAGGGAAGTGATAACAGATGGCGCTACCACAAAACAAAATGGGCGGTGTAAACGGGGTTAAATTGTGTTTTGTATGTATCGTGCATACGTATTACCATTGAGTATTACTTTGTTTTGCCGTGTTTTAATTGCAATGATTACTTTGGCGAATCTATTAGTGTATTTAGACGGGGCATAAGGACCACTAATTGAAGGCGAGTGCCTTGTTAAAGCAGGGCATATTATTTTATGTGGCACTACCGGCGAAAACGAAAGTGAGGTTATTGCACTGTGTTTACAAACGTCGAATTTAACAGGTGTCCCTCACTCTGTACGTATTGTTTTAAATCCAAGAAAGTATTTAATTGTGATTCACTTTTCATAATATACCTATATAACATACAGGTGGACCTAAAGATTGGCAGTGTAGCTGTTCTTGTAAAGCGGGGGCAGGTGGCAAGTGTAAACATATTACAGGAGTGTTAATATATGTTAACCGGTAAGAATCAATATAATTCTGTAAATTTTTAGAGGGCACAGAATTCTTCTTCAATTTTCGTTTCTGGGTTTGATAACCTATAAATTTGTTTAAGATGTGAACATGATGATTTACAGTTTACTTACCATGTAAAAAGTAATCACTTGAATCAAAATGCTTACTACAAACTTGCATGGCAGATGTAATTGGTTTTCCTATTTTTAATTTTACCTTCCACTCTTCACTTAATGTTTTGTTTTTAATAGGAAAACGATGCATTGATATACCCCTTTCATATCCAGTGAAACACTGAGGCACACAACAATAATTCTTGCTCTTATTTTTTTTTTAAGAGGACGAATTTAACGTACATTCAGCCATAATGCTTATTATTTATCCCGTTTAGGTTAGTTACATATTTCTCCGCCACGTGTCGCGTCGATCTCTCCCCTTCTCGAATAGGCTACCGGGTTATCGGCTGGGCTGATGTATTCTGACTGAATTAACGAAATTTACATATAATTAGTCTTGGCTATTTGTGAGATTGTAGCTGTAGGATAATCGGTACTCAAGCTCAAGGTTTAATTAGTTCACTTCACAATTATGTAATTTCCACAGGAGCTCATCAAATTGTTCAGAATTGAGAGATGTGTAGCGCCTAAAGTTCTACAACTAGCGGTACACGTTATTAGCAACCACTCTCCCCACATCATTAATTTATCCCTACTATTTTTGTTTATACATTCATTCATGAATAAGCAAAGCTACTATTTCAAAAGCAACTGAGTGTAATGTTTGTTGCAGAACTTCAGGCGCTTCGGATCCCTCATAAAGAATTTGATCATGTGGAAATTATTTTAGATTAATTATGACCATTATTTATTATAGCCACCACACTTTCGATTTCTAATTAGTAGCATGTAAAGTAATAGCAACAATTTATTACCAATTAATTCATGCCAAAGGTTTTCACACGTCTGCCCGAATATACATTACATTGAATCGTAAATTAATTAAACTGGTTTGCAGATAAAATATGCGCATAATTGCATTATTGTCTCCTATAATTTTTATTATGCATAAGCATGACTATTGGAATTTATTGTGGCGAAAAAATGACAGTTTTAGCATTGCATCATTACAATAATTCAAATTACAAATGTGTGTTATTGTACTGTATTGTGATACACTTCGAAAAGGTGTAGCATCTCTATATACATCTATCAAGTGTATGTGGATGGCAGTAATGGCTCATTTAGAAACGAAGTGTGTTGGGAAAGCAAGTTGCTAATAAAAATGATGCGTACCTAATGGTATAATAACGTTATTCCTATTATTAATTACCCAGAATATGACGCACTTTATTGCGATAGCAGTCTTTAAAATATCTCTAGAACAAAAGCCGACACAATCTACAAAAATGGTATAGCCTCAATATGCATATTATTTATTATTCAGGATAAGCATAGCGCACATAAGAAAAGAGCTGTGAACCCTAAGAAGTATTGAGAGCTACATTAGCATTCATTTAATGCTCCAAGTCCTTACAGAGACATCATATGAACCTCTCCCGTTACATTCCATGTCGGCCATTATGTTTGGAGATGCGCCAAAACATCTTAAAACTTATACATTGTAACAAATTTATTGAATGATAAAATAGGCGGATTACATTTCCTTTTTTTACAAATATTGAAATGATGACATTTTGCACGCAAATACCGTCTGCAAGTCAGCTGGTTTTGAATACAATTACCTGCAATTAGCTCGTGTAGATGTTTAGTATTTACTCTGAAATTTCAATGGTACTATAGTAGTTATATCTCTTTTTGCCTCTTGAATATAAATTTTGATATTTCATACGGAAACCGTCCCTGTATTGTAGTGTTACACAAAATCTTCAATCTTCAAATTTTGCTAATCAGAAGCAACCCTTTTGTTTTATGCACCCTGCGTCTATGTGTAAACTAGATTTGACAACAGAATATTTTAACATTTTAACTTTCATTAGGTGTATTTTGGTTGATTTCAAATCGACTTTAGTCGAACAGTGCTGTGCTACGCCTTCCGCCCGCCTTGTGACACGATAAAGCTCTCTGTCAAAGCTGTTTTTTTCCTTCAGATTCTTCAGCACATCATCTCGGGAAGTTCCGATCAAACTGTTGTTTTAACGATTGCGCTACTTTAATATTCTCTAAATTAACGTCATCAATTTAATAGTTTTCACATTAAAAGTAAAACAATAACAACACAAAGTTATTAATTATCAATAATTTTTTTACACGTACAGTATTCTCTTGTATTTTTCTAACAGGCGCCTATTAATTGTAGCCAATAATTTTCTCTTTGTAGCATCAATGTAGTTCTGTTGCTAACTCCGTATGGTTGGATAACAAATGCATTTTGTCCACGTTTTCTATTTACAAATAACAGCGACTGTGCAATGTTAAGAAAAAATTACTTTTTACCAATACAGAGTAGGCAAAAATGTAGTTCTCTACATGTTTTACATAATTCATGTGTGTGTTCAAGGCTGTAGATACGGAAAAGAGGGCCCATGGAAGATGCGAGAGGCGCTCCTTCCCCTCTCGGATGTGCAAGACGGTCGAGGCTAATCGATCGTTCATACGGAAAAGGCGGCGCATGAAAAATGCGAGAGGTGCTCTTCCCCTCTTGATTGTTCAAGGAGTTCGATAAGAAAAAGATGGTTGAGGCCAAAAAGGTGGTGTACCGAAGCTGCGAAAGGTGCCCCTTTCCCTCCCACATGTATAAAGATACGGAACGGGCAAAATGTGACCCACTCTGACATGTTAAACCCAGCGTCGACCCAGCATATTTCAATTTTGGTAGACGAAGAAGTTAGCATAATTTCTTACAAGGAAGCTGTCACTTATGAAAATTATGTTTTTCAGTTTTGCCAACTAAAGAATAATAAACCGTTACGAATTTGTAGGAAATATGAGTAACATAATCTCACATGTCGATGAAAATAAGTCAATTTTGTATTAAGACTGTGGAAAATTTAAGGTTTATTCCCCAAATAGTTTTTTTTTGTTGAAATCGCTCAATTAAGGTACCCTCTAACCATTTTTATTAATTTCATGATCGTCGCTCGGGGCCAATAACGCTATACTGCTATACATCCGGCAAAGAAGTTGATGAAATGCCATGTTTGCTCGTAACGTTTACATTGTAGGACCTCACTTCTTTTCTTGGATATCAAGCTTCATAAATGATTTTCCTTAACCAATTCTGTACAGTTGACAGTAGCATTCCGTAAAATAGGACAGTTTTAATATTAATAGCTCTATAATTGTGTGCTAATGTTGTACTATTGATTGTCTTGTTGACGTCGAAATCAACGATTCAGGATCTGTTAATTCAAAGAGAAATACGACACCAACTGTAATAATGAAGCCCGAAGTCGTTTCAGACATAACGGCACAAATGAAGCTTGGTTTTTTAAAACTATAAAGTAATTAAACTTTTTATGAATGACTTTTTTACCGCTGCGCTCATTGGACAAATACACGTCTAGTGCGCCAAAGACTAGATAATTATAAGTACGGCATTCCTTATACAAAATACCTACCACCTACAGATATAGCCAGTGGCGACGAGCACAAAGAAGAGAAAGGAAGAGAAACAATTCTGAAGTTAAGGTTACGTTTGCGGTCTATTCCACGTACAGAAAGAGTCGGCCTGTCTGTCTGTAATCTCATTTCCATCTAAACGACTGAACCGATTCGAACCAAATTTAGTATACAAATTATTACACATAAAACAAGATTTTGGGCAGAATCGCGCATTCGCAGGTGTTGCGGGTGGTATTTGTGCTAACCACATGTACCTACTCTCATTAGTACTTTGTCAGTGAACACATAATAAATAACAGATTTATAAAATATTGAACTCTTTATTTGCATGTTAAATAACTCCAACAATGAAAAGCCATATTGTGTGCTCCCATTTCGTAATCATTGAGCTATCCGGGGCTTTCAGAATTGAATAAGTTCCCTAGCTAGCCACTGAACTGCAAGGGTAAGTTATGTGAGCTAATCAATTTCAAATAAATTGCAGCAAGGATTATGAAAGTAGAGAAATTTGTTCTAGGAGACCAAGTTGTATTACGGGGTCCTAACAACAAAGAAAAAACAAGTTCTGCAATGATCCGACAAATACTACATCCAATTTGTTACATTTTGCAGGTGTCACTACTCACTTGGCGGCCAAATTGTACTTTTAATGTAAATTTACATAAATGATAATGTCTTGTAGAACAGGTGCTGTTGAGGTTGTTAATTTTGTTCTAGGCAATGTTGATTCCTTTTAATAAATTTACGTTTCCATGGAAATTATTTTACCTATTTTATTAGGGGGCAAAATCTGGTTTTTGGTAGAGCGCGGAGACAAATTTTATCAATAGTGTAATACAGGTAGTACCTATAATGAGTATGTCAAATCTTAAAAGTGCTCGTTACTTATTTGCTACATTGAAATTTGAAAGGGATTTATTGTGAGCGAAAGATGAAATAAAAAACAATCCACGAAAGATTACGACCAACCGCCTTCTTCTGTTTTGTGCTGCTGTATCCATCCGTTACGTATGGCTCAATTAGAATTTTTTACCGTGTGCCGTTGTCGATATTATTTAAATTCATGAATGAACAAATATAAAGTTTGATATTCTTATGAATGAATGTCTAGAAACAGTTATAAAAATTATAGCTTACCTAATACCGAAAATTAATTGAATGAAGATACATCTGAACGATGAGTGCAGATGTCTGAAATGTAAAATAATAAAATTATTCTTACTGGAACCATTGTTTAATTTTTAGCTTGAAACGTAAGAGAATATCAATGCGGTTCAAATTCCACAATGGATTGCGATGAAAATTCCGACCTCAATACAAATAGATGCATAGGTACGAATACATGAAAGAATGCATTCAATTTAAAATCTCACAAATGGAATCCAATAGATGTTCTGTAGGTAGGACCTACTAAAATATTCTTGACGAGGTTCAAACATTCGAGATGATTGTGTAAAATTGACATAAAATAAGATGTGATGCGGTAATTTGGTTTTGTATTCAGCATATAACGTAGTTGCGTTTACAATACAAACGATCGCTGTTATTAACTAGGCTACAAATTGCTTCTACATCTATTAAATTATAAACTAAATGAATGAAATCCAATAAATAATTTATTTCAGGTGGAAACTGATTCTTGCGTAGATTATAAAATGTTTGATTAGTAGTAGTAGTCAT